TGTGGGGGACTGGATACAGCTGGCAGGCTAGATCCACAGCTCCCCTAACCTCAAGGGTCACTTCAATCGTACCATAGGATAGAACAATGCTACTTACACCAGAGAGCCAATTTAGATGTAGCTCTGCTCTCTCTCTCTCTCTTTCTGATTTTGGCTACAATGTTCATTCATTGCATTTTGTTTCTTAGATCTCGCTCTGTCTCCCACCAGCAGTATATATTCTGAGTTTAGTATAAACTGCTATGCAGTGCCTGAGGTTACGAAAGACATCCCGGAGAGAGAGAGGAATTAGAAGAGAGCAAAATGTGTTTGCGTGACAGGTGGGTGGGGGGCAATCTATGCCAGCGGCATATGGACTCCAGAGGAATAGAACAGTTAAGTACAATGCTGTCCAGTTTCAAAGTTTCTAAATTCTCAAGGCTTTTCTTTAAAAAATAAATAAACAGAGACTTAAAAGAAATAGATGTGTAAAAGATCAGTCTACTGTGACTTTAAGTGTAAAATCCATTTTAGTAGCAGGAAGCTGTTATCTGGTTAGAGCAGTTATTTTTATTGTCTGTCTGGGTATAGTTTTTAACTGCAGGGACAGAATAAATCAATAGTGCCATAAAGCTACTCTCGCCCTGTGCCCTTTGTAAAGGGACATTGTTCAGTTCATGGTTTAACACAGGCTGCTGGTTGTGTGTGCTGTCCGCAAAGGTGGATTTTATTTTATTTTATTTTTGCGTGAAATACATGCACAGCCATCTCTCCTTGGCTGTCATGTGTCAGTACCAATAATATTTCATAAAGAAAAATAAATACAGAAACATGCTTCTTCTTTTAAAAGAAGGCTTAACTATATTTTCTTTTCTTCTTCTTTTTTGTCAGTAGACCACCAACAAGTGCACATGTGTCAAAAAGGAAGAATCCTGTCGTGAACATGGTTCCTTCTCCTTGAGACACTCAATGCCTGTTCCCACATGCCACACAATGCACCACTAATTTGGAAGCCTCAGATAACGTTGGACGAGCTTGTGACATGGGTACTTCTCACGCCAACGCTGCTTTTCTAGAGCTCAAGGTCATTCTATGCAACCAGTTGGTTGTGCAGTTAAGATTCGCACTCCACACAGCAGCATAATCACATATGGAATTCATTCCCACAAGAAGTGGCCTCTTATCTTAACTTAGTTGGGGGTTTTTTGGTGTGTGTTTTTTTTGTAAGATTCACAAAATGAATGAAGGATAGGCTTATCCATGACTCTTAGCTATGATCGCCAAATCCAATGCTGTATGGTGATGCAGCCAACCTCTGGTTAGCAGATGCTGTGAACAGGGCTGAGGGAGAAATTTGACTCCATTCCCACTGAAAAGCAAACCTACCTAATCCACCCTTTCCAAAGCAATGCATGGACTGAAAAACAACCATTCAAACCCAGCATTTCTCTGAATTTTGCAATGCCATCCTCCAGCCAAGTAATGGTACAGAACACATATATTAATGAAAATAACTTAAGTTTGAAAAATAAATAAATGAGAAACTAACTGGAAACAAACTACAGGCAATGAGTCTGTCCATTTTCCTTTGCTTGTGGGGTTTTTTGGGGGGAGACTTGATTGGCCACTGATGGACTGAACAAGATGAACTTTAGGTTCAATGTGCTTGTGAATTACCTGCAATGGGAGGTGGCTGCCATCTTGTTCTTTCTTATGGGAGAGCAAAGTCCCCACATAAGAGAAGCAATGTAAATTATGCAAAACATGCTATAAGTAGGGCTTTCCCCCCTTATTTGCATAATATATTTGGACACAATAGGTGTATTCTTGGGGTAAATTTAGGGTTGTTTACTCACACATTTGAGAAGATAAGAGGGTATTTTGTTTATTATTTTACTAATTTATTCAGCCACTCTATAAGCAGAGGTCTCTGGACAGCTCATGAAGCAGTAAACAAGTATACAAATGATGCACTGAAATGCAATGTAAAGCAATATAAACTATAACACATTAATTAAAAAACAGAAACACAATTAAAATACAATTTAATGCTCAATTTAAAACTGAGAGTCCCCAGACTGTGAAACACATGTTGTTTAAAAGGCCTGATTGAATAAATAAGCAAATGTTCACCTGGTACAGAAAAGACCATAAAGTTGGTGCTGGCCCAACTTCCCTGGGGAGCCTATAAATACACCCATGCTGTGTGATCTGTGCCTCTCATCACTTGACATTGCATTCCTCAGGTAATGAACTTGTGTGAACCCAAACCTTTGGGGTGATTTTATTTAAAGAAGTTGGTGATTTATTAATGTTTCTTATAAATTAAAATAAATAATATGCTGCAGAATATGGATTCCATTGGCACAAAATGGTGGAGGTCTGGCTGTTTAAGCATTTTGAGGGTAACATCTGTGCTGGTTGACTCCTTTCTCTCTCTCTTTCTCTCCTTACTGTGAGCTGTGCGGCATTCTTTGGAGAAACTGGTATAGCAGAAGACCTTTAGGGGAGGAATTGATTTAATGAAAGGGACTTCCTTGCTCTCTTCTTCAAGGTTCAACTTCCTTCAGGGGCAGAACGTACAGCTGTACTGGAGAGGGTGTTAAAACGTTAACACTCTGCTTAGAAGTTGCTCTGTGCAGGTCAATTCTGTAAAAGCAACATGTTGAATAGAGGCATTGCCCTGGCAGTGGTCTGGTTCAACCCAGATCAACTGTAAATAATACATGGCGAAGTTATTATCTGAAAGCCAAAGTGGTTAGAAGCTTTTTGAAGAGATCTGTGTGAAAGGGATGCCCCTTAGACTAAACAGACCTACTGTGAGCTCCTGAACACACACATACACACTCTGATTATCAAGCTATGAGATAGAAAATGGCCAGGGAATAAATTAAATTGGAAAACATGATATGAATCGCTGCTGTCTATTGTTGACTTCCCTAAAGATTTATATGTGATGCAGGGGGACTGTTCAGTGACACATTTTAATTTAATTAAATTTCCTGTGGGATTGATGTCTGATCAATCAATAATGTTAATGTTTTTGCAATTTGCAGATTAAAGCATGGATGAGCAGATAGAGAAGGGTGCTCCTTGATCCTGAAATAGCTTCTCTATTTCATAAGAACACAAGAAGGTCCCTGCAGCAGGATCAGGCCAGACCACAGTCCATCTAGTCCAGCACCCTATTCTTCGCATGGGACGTGGGTGGCACTGTGGTCTAAACCACTGAGCCTCTTGGGCTTGCTGATCAGAAGGTTGGCGGTTCAAACCCCCATGACAGGGTGAGCTCCCATTGCTCTGTCTCAGCTCCTCCCAACCTAGCATTTCAGAAGCATGCCAGTGCAAGTAGATAAATAGGCACCACTGTGGCAGGAAAGTATACGGTGTTTCTGTGCGCTCTGGCTTCCATCATGGTGTTCCATTGTGCCGGAAGCGGTTTAGTCATGCTGGCCACATGACCCGGAAAGCTGTCTGTCGACAAACACCAGCTCCCTCAGCCTGAAAGCGAGATGTGCACCGCAACCCCATAGTTGCCTTTGACTGGACTTAACCATCCAGGGGTCCTTTACCTTTACCTTTTACCTATTCTCACAGCAGCCAACCAGTTGGCTATGGGAAGCCTGCAAGCAGGTACTGAGTGCGGTAGCGCTCTCCTCACTTGTGAATTCCCAGCAACTGGTATTTGGAGGCATCTTGTCTCTCAAATATACTTTTTGAGAAGGTAGGCATAGGGATTCCACCTCTAATGAGCAACAGGTGGTCTGACAAGGCTACACAAAGACTGCAGAAATTGAAGGCAATAGCAGTCACCTCGATATCTTTCTCCAGAAATAACTAACAAAATAACTGAAGATAATGCCTTGGTTTGCACAGGGGCCTACAAGCAGAAGCGACTGCAGCACATGGACTAGAAATTGTTCCCCATCCCTGCTGCTCCTATGGCAGCTGTTGGAACTACCAGCTGCTAAGGGCACCCAGAAGGCTCTCACAAAGCGAAGCCTCCTTCACAGGCACCTACATGAAATGACGGTTTCTTCTTCCTCAGTTCAGTCTGCGCTGTCCATTTTATGTTTCCTTTTTGTGCCAGGTTTCTTTCTGCCTGTTTCTCTGCTGTCTGGCTTTCTCTCCTCACCCCCTTCCGGAATCAGACATACAATTTGCTGAATTATCATTTTAAATAGTTCCTGATAACATAAGGAACTGGCTTTTCTCTCACTTCTTCCTGTTTTGAATGCTGGAGTGTTTGTTTACTGCAGATCACATTATGCCTCTAACAAAAATTGGAACAAACCAGACTAAACTGACCTGAACTTTAATTGGCTATCTTGGCAGCATCCTTTGCAGCAATGTCTTGCTGGCCCTACTTATCTGAGGGACAGATTTTTGTTTGCACTGGCTGGTGCCATCATAGCTAAAGGGAACCTTTAGGGATTTTAGTAGTGTACCTCTGATTTCCTGTTGCTAAGGCATATAATTCCTGAGGGTTGTTGTCTTCATGACCTGCTTATGGGCTTCCTAAAAAGCATTTGGTTGGCCACTTTTGGAGGCAGGTGCTGAATTAGATGGACCTGTTGGAAGTGCAACAGGGGAGATCATGCAGTTTCTAACTTAAGGGTTAATTCTGTTAATGTTAAAGTCAACTAGCCAAAAGAGGGACAGGTGAAGATGTCATTTTGCAACCAAGCAATGTAGCACTGAGGTAGTACATGCTGTGATTTGCTGTGTAGTTTTGAGGAAAGTTTTCTCTGTAGGTTTGGTTGTATGTCTCCCTGCTCTGTCCAAGGCCTGAACTAAGAAAGACAAAACCTCTCTGTTCCTTTCTCCTCAAATTATACACTGTTTTTGATCAGTTTGCTATGTGTTATTAGGACTTTCTCCTCTGGACCCACCTTAACGTTCTTATATTGTGCTTGTGAGAATGGTGCCTCCCATTCATACACCTATGCATGACATTCCTTTCTACCACACCAGCTAGGTGAGGAGCTGAGCTTATAATTGCTGCCTTGCTCCCTGTTTGTGGGGCTGTAGCTCAGAGGCAAAGCATCTGCCTCACATGCAAAAGGTCCAAGTTCCAATCCGCAGCATCTCCAGGTAAGGCTGGGGATGTTCCATGCCTGAAATCCAGAAGAGCTGCTGCCAGTGAATGAAGACCACATTGAGCTAGATGGAGCAATGGCCTTCTTCTGCTGCTGTCCTTTCCCAGCCCATGAGAGTTGGCAGAAAAGAAAGAAGCACAATATTTCAGGAGACTGAAGATGTAGTTGGAGAAGCTATGGCCTTTCAGGTGCTGTTGCCTTCCAGCTCTCATTAGCTCCAGTCAGCATGCTGGTTGTGGATCAACAATGTCTGGATGGCCATAGATTCCCCATTGGCTGGTAATGTCAGTGCTGACCAGAATGCTCATTCACCCCCCCCCCAAAAAAACAGCTCTCTGGTGTTCGGTGTTCCTTATTATTAAGAATCAGCATTCACAACAACAGCATGAAAGAGGCTCAAAGGTGCTCAGCCTCTGCAGTTGCTCTGCTGCCAGCTGTTTTGCTCCCTTACCCCTTTAAGAAGAACTGTCTTGGGGTGGGGCGGAGAAGACATGGCCAGGTGTAGTTTGTAAATGCGGCGGGGGGGACGGGACCTTGCTGAACAGGACATCTCCCCAGGAAATGGCCGTCAGCTCCAGCACAGCCCCCCAAAAGTGGCTTCCAGCACACACACCCCATTTAGTTGCATGTCCACTTTTTAGAATGATTAAGGGCTGGAGTGAAGAAATGCTGCGGCTAGATGCAAGGTCAGGCTGGATTTATCTCAACTGCCGAAGCTTCTTGCTACTTTAAACATGATAATGCAAGCCACTGTGCCAAACATCCTAGCGGGGCAGTGCACAGGTCGGGAGAGATAATTTTCAAGGAATTGCAGATTGCAAGATGGTATTTTGTAACAAGGGGATTAAATTGGATTTGTATCTCGGCGGTTACAAGCACAGCTTTGTTGCAATGTTCCCCTTTCCCTCCCTGAACCTCTTGAGTACTTTCACAGCTCTGGTTGCAACATGGGTCAAATTGACCCACGCTTCTGCTTCAACTCAGTGTCAGGTTGATCATGTGGATCACCTCCCCGCCCCCACCACCACTGGCAAACAAAAGTTCATTACTTTGCTGATAGCATTGACCTATTATGCCCCTTGTTCATCGACAGGATCTTAGGAACATGGGAAGCTGCTGTACACTGAGTTAGACCATCGTTGGTCTACTGAGCTCAATATTTTCTACACTAATGAGAAGCAGAGTTTCGGACAGGGGTCTCTCCTAGTCGTACTTGGGGCTGCCAGCGATTGAGTCTGGGACCTTCTGCATGCAACTCAGGTGCTCTGCCGCAAATGAATTACATTTGCTTCATACTCCTGAAGGCCAGTTCACGCATTATATTTGAATACAGCCCTTCAAGCCTCTCTATCTGACCCTGAGGACAACCCCCCCCCAAGCCACACCATGTGCCTTCTCCCGCTCCACACCCTCCTTGTATGCTTTTGTTTGACTTGGAGGTGTCCTTGAACTGTGGCAATGCCTCTCGCTTGGCAGGGTGGAGTGGTGTGTCTGCAGTGTATGCATGTATGCACAGAAACATTTGCTTGGTTGGAATGTAGCCTACTGTATAGAGGTTAATAGCTGCATGCACTGCTCTGCCCACTTTTGCCTCTGGCCCCACCCACCAATGGCATGCCATCTCTGAAAGGTAGCCTAGGATGAAGGGATGTGGCTCTCAGGCTCAAAATGTGTGCTGAAAATATAAAGTGTGAATAACTAGCGGAGGGAACTTGGTTTCTGCAAACATGTGCACCCCCTGGCAGCACCTACACTTGGGAACTCCCTGCCTATTGACCCCAGGCAGGTGCCTTCGCTGCACCTCCTTTTTCAGCACCTCCTTAAAACCTTTTTGTTTAGGGAAGCCTATCCAGACATGTAAAAGTAGATGTGTTTTAAATTCTCTTTAGCATACTGTTGATTTTAATCATTTTTGAATGTTTTTAAATTCCCATTTTAACTGTTCTTTACCAATAAATGCAATTTTTTAAAAAAAGCTGCTTAGAAGTTTGTTTGTTTTTTATAACCAAGCAGTACATAAATTTTGTTAACAAATTATATGCATGGTATTTATTTAATGGCATTGGCTGCAGTTCCTAATCACATGCCATTTCAGTTGGCAAACCCACAAATGTCACTGAGTACTGTGTGGAAAAAAATGGGTTTCTTTCTTAAATATTTTGCAGTTGTGGGAGGGTGGGATCATCCCTCTTAGAGTGTGGTATCTTTCTGTCTGAGGAGGGAAGCATATGTATCTCTGTGTGTGACAATTGCATTACAAGGGGTTGGACTAGATGACCCTTGGGATCGCTTCCCACTCTGCAGTTCTATGAGTCTATAATTAGGGAGGTGGGGGAAATTAGATTCAGCTTGTATTCAAATCTGAACCTACCTAATTTTCACTTTCCAAAACAATGCACTAACTGAAACACAGCCATTCTTCAACATTCACACTTCTCTTAATTTTGCCATGCAGTTTTCCATCCAAGCAAATTGTACAATAATGTATATACTAGGGTAAAAGGTAAAGGTAAAGGTAAAGGTAAAGGGACCCCTGACCATTAGGTCCAGTCGTGGCTGACTCTGGGGTTGTGGCGCTCATCTCGCTTTATTGGCCGAGGGAGCCAGTGTACAGCTTCCGGGTCATGTGGCCAGCATGACTAAGCCGCTTCTGGTGAACCAGAGCAGCGCACAGAAACGCCGTTTACCTTCCCACCGGAGCGGTACCTATTTATCTACTTGCACTTCGACGTGCTTTCAAACTGCTAGGTGGGTAGGAGATACTAGGATAACGTGTTCATAAAAAATACACGTATCAGTGAAATTTTCATGTGACATTGCTTTGCAGAATTGCTGCTTACCTTGCTTAACTTTACAAGATGGCCAAGAGTTCTTCTGCGCCCCAAACCAACACCACTCACAACAAGGCCTTCTCACTGCAGCTTTGAGGCAGGACCTAATAAAGTTAAGCAGTGACCCCTACCAGAAATTCCTCCCCATCCTCCTAGGGCTGTCTCAATATGTTTTGTAGCTTGAGGTGAAGGACAAGAGGGTACCCACCTTCATTTCCATTATATAAAAACTGACTGGTCTGGCAGGTGAATCTTGCTTTAACACAGGTGATGAGATGGTGGCCTCTGAGAACTACAGGCTAGCTTAGGGGGCAAAGGTAGGCTGTGTAGCATGGATCTCCATTGATCCTTTCTGCTGCAGGCCCCTTCCTCAAGCACCTGCCTCATTCTGCCTAATGACAGACACAGCCCCACTTCTCAAAGAAAGCAGCAGAAAACCAGACCCCATTTTCACAGAGTATTTTCAAGAAACTGCAAGGGGTGTGTAAGGATTTCAGCCCAGCCTCAGCAGCAAAAGTTATATAAAAATCTAACTGAAAAGATGCACAGAGGCTTTTTTGTTCTTTGGGATGTTTTTAAAAGAAGCCTAATGAATACTATAGCAGGCACTCCTTATTATCCATATCCCATATATATATTACACACAATGGCCACTTTTCATCTCTACAACGACCGCACACTGAGGGCCCAATTTAGTGAGATATCACCACTTCTGGGCCTGTACAATTTCCCCATGGACATTCACATTTCTTTCTCTCTTTTTTTGCCCTTCAGTAAGGCTCTGGTTGTGTAATGCGCTTTTGGATAGGGGAAGTAACTTAATTCATGCTTCTCAGCATAATATAGAGCCGGGATGACTCTGTGGGGGTTGTGAGTGAGCGGTGACTAGAGTTCAACTGAAATGTTGATGGGCTCGACTTCTGCCTCGAAGGAGAGTAATGTTAAGGAAGAGGAACTTCCACTGAAACAACCAGCCATCATCCTGATAATTTTGTCTTTGTTGATTCCTTTTTCTTTTTGTAAAAAACAAACAAAAAAATCAACACAGCAGGACAAAACAATCTTTAAAGATGGAGGGCAGGATGTGGTGGAGGTATTTGATGGGCAATTCAACCCCCTGTTTCCTTCCCATTCTACCAGGTGTAGTGTTTGGGTAGAGAATGAAAGTTTCTATAAAATGTATGAATATTTGAGAAAGAAATATAAACACAGAACTTCTTTCTACGTGGCTGGCAGCAGAGGGGAGAGGAGGCTTTAATTAGAAACTTGGAAGAGAAGCTCTCTTGGTTTTGTTGCAGGTAAAACAGCAAAGGATCCTGTGGCCAGCTTAAATAACAAATCTGGGCTCCTCCAGATTAGCTGTTTATTGAGCATTCGTTCTGATTTGCTTGTGTAAAGCTTATGTGGAGGTTAGACTATCTCCGGTCTTTATTGAACGTTTGTTCTGATTTGTTTGCAGGGAGGTTATATGACTGTGAGCATCCATCCAATTAGTCATTCATTCATCTCAGGCTTTTCAGTACATTTGCCTGTCACTTTCCTAACCATGCAAAGTCCAAGGTTGCTGTAACTAGGGTGGCAGAGCGCTTTAATTCTATTTAATTGTACAAGCCTAAATTTCCATTTCCTGCCAGCATAGCAGTTCAAAAGCATGTCAAAGTTTAAGCAGATAAATAGGTACTGCTCCGGCGGGAAGGTAAACGGTGTTTCTGTGCGCTGCTCTGGTTCGCCAGAAGCGCCTTAGTCATGCTGGCCACATGACCCGGAAGCTGTACACCAGCTCCCTCAACCAATAATGCGAGATGAGCGCTGCAACCCCAGAGTCGGCCGTGACTCGACCTAATGGTCAGGGGTCCTTTTACCTTTACGTTAAATTTCCAGTGTGCCCTCCTGCATATTGTTTTTTATTTGTGTGTACAATTATTGTTGCAATGGAAGTGTATATAAAGAATGCTTGTGTGTTGAAAACGTGTTGTGTTAGTATGATGGGGGACACCTTGCAGGCATGGGTGATGGATCCATTTCTTTGTTTCTTTTTTATCATTTGCAGTTATTTTTTTCTTTTCATTCCCTATTCCTGAGGTGCCCTTTTTTTTTATTTGTTATTATTTTAAACAACAACAAATAGATATAGAAATAAAAATGTGCACCCCACTCTGA